TTAAGATACCTTCTTTATGAGTACAAAAACATTTTTTAACGTCATTCCGGAAAAATTAATATCTCAGTTGTTTCGAAAATTGACAAATTACCCAAAGTTGAATGAATCAAAAAAATATCAATGCATCCGACATACCTAAACTTTTCACGCAATCTTTCACTTCAATTAGAAAAGATCCAAAAGTCTTATCAAAAACTACTTTAAGTATATGCATCATTTTTTTATTTTTTATTTTCCTTTGTGTTTCTACACGGAATGATAAAAGTGCAAATATATGACTGAATTTCTAATACACCTGGGGTTTCCATCATTCAAGCCATTAATCAGGAAAACATCCAAGTTTGGGTACCCATAAATCATCGCTTTTGACAGAGTTTGGACTATTTCATAATCTAGTGCGTGAGAATTTCGAGATTTTTCGTCCAAAAATGATTTGAAGTGTAGCGAGTCGGCATGACATTTAGAAAATGACTAATTATTCTGAAAATTAGACAGAGTGGTAGGATTTTCCACCGAAAAATATGCAGGTGAAAGATAAAAAAGATATAAGGAATTGTATTTTTAAATAAATTAAAAATTCGCTTTAAGCTTTAAAATTGCTTCGTTTCTAATTAAGCTTAGCTTCAAAAGTGTTATAATTTAAAATAAAATATTTGCGTTCCTTTCAGTCTCAAGGGAACGAGAATGAAATATTTTATTTAAAATATTTTGATTTTTTAAATATAAAATCGCGGAAAGCTTTTTTTTGATAAAATATTTCGCGATAAGTTTATTGTTCTTTTATGTCATCAGTTTTCTAATCTGAAGAAATCAAAATGTTTTAAACAGAAAAAGTTTTAAAAAATTATTTTATTAATGTAGTTTTGAAAGTGAACCTCGAGCAATTTTTAAATAACGGTGAAATAAAGAAGCGATACATATTTTATTTTTCGGTATCTAGTTTTCTTAATTAATTGTTGTAATATAAGATAAGCGTTATTCAAAACTCGCTAATTTAGAAATGTTGAAGTAGTGTAATTATTAAAAAGAGTTTTTAGAAACTATAAGCTTCCAATATGTTTTTAAGAAGTCAAACTATGAAGCATTTATAAATAAATTTTATACAAACATAAATTCCTTTAGGGAGATCATCCTTTTTAACTCTTAACATTTCAGAAAATCAATTGCTTTTTATATTTTCTAAATATTTTATGTGTTCAACTAGTTTTTAAATTTCGTACTTCTGCAGGATTATTTAAATCCCTATTTCCATTAAACCATATTTTCAAAATTCGCTCCAAGCTATTCATATCCATTCTGCTTTTTTTTTAAATAAGTTGTAGATAATTAAATTACTTTCAACGTAATGTAGATATTCATAAGGGAATTATCAGTCCAATCTTAAGGCGGCTTCGATCCATTTTTCTAAGAATTCATAAATTTTTACTTCGTTCTCAAATTTTTTTATCTGATTTCCATTTTTATAAGAATATAGGTTATTAAATTACCACCAAGTATACATATTTTAAATATCACCATTTTGAAATTTCTATAAGATTTAAATGTTTGCTTTTAGAAATAAAATACTTGCAAATATCAAATACAAAATAATACCTTTAACAAGAGTTCACTAACTACATAAAAAGGGTATACAAAAACCATATTTAATACCGAAATAAAATTTAACTCTTTGGAAACTGCTAGTACAACAGTTATGGCCAACTTTTTGCTTTATAAAATTATTTAATATATGAAAGACAAAAATTATTTTTGTGATAACATATTTGTTATGCCTTTAACATATCTTTCTCAACATAACATGTTTCTTACCCTATCAAAGTTTCTATAACAGAAAAAAAGAATTAAAGTCCAACTGTTGTACCAGCCGTCTACAAAAGATTAAATTAAAAAATTTATCGTTATTATCACCATTAATAGATATTTTCAACGGATCGATTGCAAAATTTCTTAAGTTATTTCTTTATTATGCATATAGTTATTATTTAACTCATCAGCAATATACGTAGTTAGTATTAATTATCACATTTTTAATAATGCGATCATCGCAGTTTTATTTTTCTTTATTTGAAGCATTTTTTTTCTCAACAATCAGCTGAATATTCATTAAAATCGTTACGATTTTAAAAAAACCTAAATATTATTTTCTTTGAAAAATTACGAAACTTATTCTCTATAATCACTTTCAAATCAATACTTTCGTAAACTCCTTCTACAGCTTTCATGTTTGAAGTTTTTTTTTAAGGGTTTCATGTTCTCCCGAGGTAAAAAAATACCCCCTCATTACAAAGAAATTAAACATTTACAGCTCATTCTTCCACCCCACAATACTCTCAAACCCAACCCCACTCCAGCAATTTTAATATCTTCAACAGAAAAATGCTAGTTTTTCTTTTCCTATCTTAGTATTCTTCTCAATGTAATACAAGCATAATCAGTTAAGCTGAAGAACTTAAAAACATTTCTTTTAAAGGCTAGATTGCGTGCTTCTCAAAACGTTAGCTCACATTAATCTTGCGTTTCTGTCTTACGTTTTGCCTGCATCGGTGTGTTTAAGGTATACAAACAGGGCAGGGAAGGTTTCTTCCGTTGGGCCTCATTAATTCTGCATCATGCATATTCTTTTTTTCTTTCTTCTTCCTCTACTCATCCTCCTCATATTTCATCTCTGTGATATGAAACATGCTTTCTCTCAATCTTTCATTATTCATATTTTGACGTTTCTTGCAAACATCTTGAATATTTACTAATCCCGGAAGTTATTTGAAGTAAATTATTATTTAAATTAATTTTTAAGAATTTATTGGAATTAAATCACCGATAAGTTTGTTAATATATAAATAAATATTTGCTTGACTTCATACTAATTAAGTGATTATGAAAGTGGCTAAAAATGGTAACTTAATAAATTCGTCATCTTTACGTTACAATTTATAAATCTAATGAGTGTTAACAATTCTTAGAAGCTGAATGGTTATTATAATTTAATGCACTTTTCACAGATGAATTATTAAATTAAGCATGAAATCTATTATATATGTACTTGGAATCTTTATCCCTCTGTTCGCTGTGCTTACGTTCCCTTAAAATGCTTTTGAATTGCTGCTTAATTCAAATTCATTTCGCCCATCCATTGCTTGTTGTTGTCGTTCATTTACGTCGCACTAGAGCTGCACAATGGGCTATTGGCGACGGTCTGGGAAGCATCCCTGAGGATGATGCGAAGACATGCCATCACAATTTTGATCCTCTGCAGTGGGAATGGCACCCCGCTTTGGTAGCCCAATGACCTGCACACAAAGTCGAGCACTTTACGGTAGAACTGTTTAACGAATACCAATACCGCACACCCTCGGCCCCTTCATAGACTGATCCAAGTGGTCATCCACCCACACACTGACCGCTGCTAGTAATGCTTGACTTCGGTGATCTGCTGGGAACCGTGTCTTAACGATCAATCCACTGCGGGACCTCACCTATTGGATACATATCGATATAAGTGTAGCTTTGCATGTATGCTGATTTGCATAAATGCTGTATGTATACTTTATATGTATGCTTTATGTATACTTTGTATGTACGCTGTATGTATACTTAATATGTGCACTCATTCTTAAAATAAAATTCTAAAAGTATACTCTGATATAATTATACCCTGATATAATTATAATTATCCTCTAAAACATTTATACTCTGAAATCTTTGATTTGCAAACATTTCATTCAATTTGATTTATGTACATATACTATTAAGGCATTTTTCATAGAAAAACAAGCGTTTTCTAGAGGCGACGCATACTTCTTAGTTTCTTCTAATTTCTATTCAACATCTTAGTCAACAACTTTTATTCAACATCCCTAAATCTGGGGTTTGGGGTATGGCTATTAAGATCACAGTTCTATAAGCACTTACATCTTGAAAATGCCACATATTTTCAGGTTGCCTCGCATTTCAAATAAGTATTCTGAAAAAGAATTGGTTGCAATATTTCTATTACGTAATCGAGCATCATTCAAAGGGGAAAATTTAAACATCTTGATTTGTTTTAACAGAAAGCGCCGTATAGACGATAGGGAATTTTTGGGAATTTCTTAATGCGTATATTTCCAAGAATTATTACAGTCACCCCTTAACATCAGAAAATAATCTTTTAACAGTAATATTGAATTTTTATGACTCACTGGAAAGAAAGGTTTATTTCGTCTTCGAATTAATAATAGAATCTATTTTAAGATATGAATTAGTATAAAAAGACTCGTATGAGACATTCCATGTTCCATACATTTCAAAGTTAGTTGGAAATTATCTTTCAATGAATAATTTACAGAATTTTTCTTATGCATACATTTATAAATTTCAGTAAATATAACCACAATAATTTTAAGTACTTTATTTAAACAAAATTTATTGAAAGCGATAAAAAAAATGTTTCAAAACGAAAATTGTTTAATTAAAAGAATTTTATTGCCAGAGTTAAAAACAATTTTTTGAATCAATAAGCACCATATTTTCTAGCCGATCTCTGTTTACAAAACATATTTTACCCTCACGTTAATTATTAAACAGCATTAAAACTAAAATATAGCTCCCAGTTATCATGCTAACTTTGTAAATTAATAAGCATACACAATGCAAAAGTATAGAATAATTTGTTTGTTTACATGAACTGTTCGCTTTTAACTTTTCATGTCTCTCACATCGTCATTTCAGTTTATTACAGCTTTTTGTTGTCCATGCGAGAATATAACGTAAATTTTATGAAACAAATGTGCATTATTTAAATTTTTTTCATCTAAAATTTAAGATTTAACTGTAAATATCAAATACCGGATTGAACTTCTTTGGTGATTTTACCTGAATCTTGCACTAATTTTTATTTTGCCTAAACAAATTTAAAATTAAAAGTACTTCATCAAACTTTTAAAGGGATGCACAGTTTCGTTTTGTAAATTAAATATAAAAAGTGAATTTAATACTGATAGATTCTTTTTTTTTTCTTCCAGATTTATACTGATTGGGCCAATCATTATTTGGATCGTGGGCGCTATAAGCGTAATATCCAAGATCTACAGGTAGATATATCTGATGGCGTTCTTTTAGCTGACGTAATTGAAGCAGTCAGTAAGTAAACAATTTCATTTCAACTAATCGATAATGCAATATTATGGTTTATTTTATACATTTCTTTAACATTTCTCATTCGTGAAGGAATTTTTATCGATTTGCTTTTGATGTAATAATCCTTGGAGAAAAATTAACTAATTTTTTTTAACCAACAACCCAGGACAATGCTGTACCTTTCACCTCATAAACTTTGGTACCAGTGTAAATATTTTCGTCACCTACCCAAGAAATTCAGTATCCTGTATTTGTAGTTGATGCTTAGAATTATAATTCTGTCTGTTGTGTTGGTTTTACTTTTAAGGCATACGTTAAAGAATATTTTTTCTTAATTTCTTCTAATTGCTGAGGAAATTTTTTAACAATTTCTTAAGTAAATACTTACATTACATTTAAAAACATATAAATACCGAAATTTCATATCTAAGATATAGAAGTAGAATATTAATTCTCAATAAAAGTTTCAATCGCAATGAAATAGCAATATTTATGAAGAATAATTTCTTTTTATAAGGTAGAACAGAATTTAAAAAAAAAAAAAACTTTTTTTGTTAATTTTATTTTGAACCAGTACCAGTATATTGAAAATTGGATCGATTCAGGGTATATGCAATTTGTACTTTTTAATACCAGTTAGCCTTACATGTAATAGCACAATACAAAATGTAAACAAATTATGCTCCCAGTAAATGTATATATTTCTAAAATTTCTTAAAGTAATAATAAATTTCAACTTGCATCAATTTGTTGAAAAGTTAAATAAATGCATAAAATCTGGTTTCTAAAAATATTGCATTTATTCATTTTGCTGTAAAACTAATAAAATTATTTACAATGCCTCCCACCTGGAAATAATTTAAATTCTACTTTATGAGAAATGGGGAGAGTTATTTTTTCCCCATTTTAAAGGTTTTTAATACATAAACTAGCTACTTCTTTTCATTTTATTGTCAAATAAATTAAGATTAATGACCTTAATTATGATGATTAATCATAATTAATTACCGAAAGGCTCTGTAAAAGTAGAATATTTTATTAGGTTTGATAAAGTTTCTTGCTACTAATTTTCGCTTTCTATCTAAGCTTTTTATGCAATTAATTGAAATAAAAATTTAAAATCGTTATAAAATGTATTGAAGCTGTGTGGTATTATTTCCAAATTCTGCCTGATGTAAAATTTTACTACCAGAAATAGTTGGAATGCGACTGGTATAAGGAATAAATTTCTATTCAAACATTTGTATTACATTTGTATTAACACTTGTGATACATTTGTATTAAACCGTATTCACATTTTTTTAATAAATCATGCTTCATTTTGTAACTTAAAATTATAAAGATTCATTTATATTTTTTAAATTAAAACATTCGTTTAAAACTTTAAATTAAACAGTTTTTACAATCCTTTTCATGCCAGGAATTATATGGTATCTCATGAGTAAAAAATGCATTGTTTGTTAAACGCATAGTTTATAAAAAATAAGGCTACGACATGCGACCCCAATTTGGGTCACGGGTAGTTAAAGAGCTCTTCTCTACTGCATTGGTTATTTAAGTAAAAAAATTTCACTGTAAAAAATTGTAAAATTTTCACTGTAAAATTTTCGTCATTCTATCCACACCCCCAAAAAAATTGTAGTGTCTAATTTATCTAACTTCTTTAACGAGTCAACGAGCACAACACAACAAGGACAGATAAATAAATTACACCCTTTCTCGGAAAGGGATTCGAACTCCGGATCTTCTTGGTATACGGACAACTTCTTGACCACCATACAAACCGTATTTCGTCAATTTGTTTTTGATTGTCTAGACTTTATTTTAGTTTCGTCATTCCGGTTAACAATCTCAAGCAATGCACTAAAAACAGGTTTCAAAAGAGGTTGTGGTAACATTTTCGTCGTGCTTTTAAGAGTTTGCATTTCGTCACACGATTTCGCGACGAAATTATTCTCAAAATTAACGAAATACTGCTCAAAAGATTGCTGAATCGTCAAAAGTGAAAGTTTTGTTTCCGAGAGTGTTCATATTCCAGGAAAATAATACATAATTACAAATATGAATAAACGCAAATATCACTTTCATTTCAGAAGTTTAATAGTGTTTACAATTATCATTTAAAATTTCATATTACAAATATTGTTTCTGATTTTAGATAGTTTTATTTGTTTGTTTTATCAATACAATAAATAAAAAAAAACATTTTTGAAATTGCAGTTGTAAAATTTTTAGTGATAAAGTTTAATATTTTGGTCAAACTTATAAGTCTACATGAAATAAAGTTATGCAACTTATCAGTTTGCTTAAAAATGAATGAAACCTAAATTTCGAAAAAAATAGTAAAAACATGGATAATAAAATTAATTGATTTTTAATTTTAAAAAATATAATGCTTAATTATAAAAATATAATGTCGAATTAAAATGAAAGAATAATAATAATAATAATGCGTAATTATAAAAATAATAATTTAAGTAAATAGATTTTGTACAATTGTAACGACAATATAAAGAATTTATAAATTTAATAAATCTGTAGTCGCATATTAGATCAGATTAAAATTAATTTCTGACAGAAAGATGCAAATTTCCTATTTTGTTCAAATACACTCTCAGTACCATTAATGCCGAAGAATATATTTAAATAAATGAATACATTTTAAACAGCTGCCTCCTTCCTCTTGTAAAATACATTTATTTTATAGAAATGCTTTAGAACAAACCAGAAAGATATCAATAAAGTGTAATATTCCGAAACAAAGTTTTGTAAAAACATGCATGTCATATATTTCAATAATCTCAAATGATTTAATCTATTTCTTGTTGAAATTACTTTTGTAAATAATTAAAATAGTTTTGTTTTACTATCTATTTAGCTACACATAATTTAATTTCTTTGAAATCAGTTCCATAAGCGACTATTTGAAAACTATATTCAAAATAATATTTTAACTTTTTAAATTTAAATGTCATTATTTAAAAAATGCTTGAATGCAGATCACAGAAAATATAATTTATTTTTAAATAATAAATATTTTTAAAAGTTTTGTCGGACTTTTTTGAACTTAAAGCATTTTAATGAAAAACAAATTGAATATACATTATAAAAATGTAATAAATTAGATATGTTAGTCGATATCAGAACTGAATTAATATTTTGAAAAGAATTTTATATAATTTAAGTCAATAAAAATGAAATAAATGAGTCATTACTGTTACTGAACTGAAGATATATTTCGGAAAGAATTCAATAATTTAAGAATAAAATACATATGAAGAAAATAATTATTTCGTTGTTGATATATTTGAAATAATTTTTAAGGGACAATTCTGTAGCTAAGTATAAAATATTTAGTAATCAGATCAGTGAATAAAAATTGGGGAACTAAGTACAAATTTTGTAATTTTAACTAGCGTTGAACCATAAATTCGCTTTAACTTGTTGCAATTTTCGTAGGGTGTTATGCTGAACCATATTATTATATTTTTTAACCTTTTATCTATGGTTGGTACTGTCCAAAATAACAAATTACAGCATAATAGAAGAAGTGCTCTAATAGATGAATTCAGTTATTTTATTTTACGGTTTAATTTGAGGGAAGCATGGTCTAATTTAACTCCTTATTAAAATTGCAGCAGATTTTCCCCGTATAAAGTTCCAAAGTACAGATATTATAATCCAATAGTGAACCAATTTTTCTAAGGGTGTATATGGAAAAAAAAAGTCTGAAAAATTATGGTATTGTATAATCATGACATTTCTGGCTTAAAAAAAATTATAATTCTGGTAAATATAACCAAAATATACGGTATTTAAAATATTCATTTGGTAATTTTCCCTCTGATATGGTTAAAGGTTAATCGGAATTTTTCGTTTTCAAAAATTATAGTTCTTATTTTCCTACAATTTAGTAAAAAATACAAAACTGAAAAGCAAATTTAATCGAATAAATAGTTTTTATGCCATGCTCTAAGGTATCATGATAAAACTGAATCTATCAGATTTTTCAAACTTTCACACATTATAAAATAATATGTCATTGTTAACTTTACCAAAACTATTACCAAAGCAAATCGGTAAAAATTGCCTTGCTTTCTAATGTTTCCATATAGCCAGAAATACGGTAAATTTTAACATATTCTGGCTGTTTTTACCATAATTACTTTATATCATTATAAATGTATATACATGCTGTTACAAAAATGTAACTACAAACTTTTGGAGTGCGTAGAAGACGTAGGGAGCAGCAAAGGGACTGAAAACTGTATAGCAATTCATGATCACAAACGTCACGGAAAAATAGTAGCAAAGGCAGAAGAATTAAAAGGGCAAAAGTGGGTGATTACCTGAAAACTATTATACAATATATAATATTACAATACATCAGCGGTTTTCATTTTGGTTGGGAAATGGAACCCTAAACGATCAAACTTGTTTCGGCGGAGCCCCAATTTTATAAAGAAAAGTATATAAATATATTTGTGAACGTATTCAACAACAATATAGTATTTTATTTTGAGATTATTTAATTCGCTTCCAAATAAGGTTACCAGGTTCGAATCCCAGCGGTGACCGGTAGATACGAACTCCAGTCCCGGCTTGCACCGACCACTGTGCTGACATAAAAATATAATATACTTAGTTATGGGTTACAATCTCCTTGCATGTCGGTCTTACCTTGGGAGGTTTCGTGGTTTTTCTCTCTAAGTAACGCAAATGCGGGTTAGTTTCATCTCAACAAAGGCTAGTTTGTTCCAATGCTTGGTCAAAGAGTTCCTTTGTTTTGTGGGTTGGATTCAAAATTGCAAGGCTACTGAGTTGAAAACTGATAGTTTAAAACACAGAATTGTGTCGGCTGTTTGACCTCGATTACATATATAAAAAAAATAAGATGGATTCTTTCATCATTTTATTATTTATAATCTTAAATTAAATTACAAGTCCTACAGCTAAATTCGTAATCCTAGAACTTTGTCTAGTCTAGTACTTAATTTGTTTTT